TATTCTCAGCGTATGGATTTGTGCCACTGGATAAAAGCTCATCCCGAACTGTTAAGCGTCATTTTATTCAGTGATGAGGCGTCTTTTACCCAGGACGGTGTAAATAATTTACGAAATGTGCATACGTGGTCCCACAATAATCCACATGAGATAACGGAAACGAAATTCCAAAAGAGATTTTCCGTGAATGTACTTTTAATACAGTTATGTAGTCGGCTAGCTGAATACACTCGGATACCAGAATGCGCAGCCAGCCATGTTATGTCAGTGCTTGCCAGTCATGTGTCATGTATAGCGCTTGGAAACCTAAGGACAATTATGACATGGCAAGCAAGTATTTTGTACTTCAATTTTATGGCTTCATGTCACTCACAAGTTAGTTTGATGTTACGTACATTATTAACATTACAGAAACCACATATTTCTGCCAGTTTTAATATGTAGTTTGCAATCAACAAGTGTGTAACACTGGTCAAAGTTTCACACTTCTCTGGCCAGTATCTCTGTAACCGTTCAACTTTGGACATATGTGTTTTGGGTTATATCGGCATACTTTAACATAAGGAACGCCCTCCCGAAGTTTGGCGCATTCCTCTTGGGACACCCTGTATATACTCAAGGATGTGCACTCCTTTACAGAGTAGTACATATTTTTATTCTTCTTCATTTCATTATCCCAGAATGAACTAATTTGCACACATTTAATTAAGCCAGGCTTAATTCATTCCCATTGCTGGCTGGAATGTTCCTCCTCAGATGAATTTGAGGAATTCAATTATATGAGCAGGAAACAATACTTATGAGGGTGAAAAACAAAAATGTTGCATAATATTATGCGTTTATTAATTATTATTAATTAATTATGCCCTTATTAATATAGATAGAGGGTCTGTTGTCAGACTTGGTCCAACATTCAGAAAAAGATCAGAGCAGACACAAAGAACACTGGGTGAAATATTTTATTTTTGTGTGCGTCACTCATTTGTCAATTTCTCCAAATTTCATAACGCGCAATGCACGGTGACGTAAGACGGCGTGAGGTAACAGCGTTGCTACTTAACAGGCACACACAGCCACTATATAAGAGAGCTACGCTGCCTGCGAGGAGAGTTTTTAATGTGGCCATCGCCGAGTTCAGTTCCGATTTAGTTCCGAGCAAGCCTACGAGCGAGTGTGTTATCAACAGTTCTCCAGTGAGCAGACTACAGTTGGAGTATAGCAGCCGTCACGGAAAGAAGAACCGGACGTGTGTGTAATTGTGTAACTGGGAGCGTGTGATACAGTGATACAAAGCTCCCCTACTGCAAACGTGTAGACTACTGAAGACAGAGTGAACTGATTTGTGAATAGGGTTATAAATCGTGAAACCCTGCAACAGTGTAAACAGATTAATGCGCTTAGGGTTATAAAGTGTGAAAACCCCGCAACTGTGTGATAAGTAATTGTAGCCGTTACTTTTAGGTTGTTGAATAAACCAATTAACAATCCGAACGGCGTCTTCAGTAACCCAACATGTTACAATATGAATTATTTGCGTACCCCATGTGTCTTTCACTTGGCCCTTGTTCATATTGGTTTCCAAATAAATCTTCTCCCTTCAGCTATGTATGTAATGTTCTGTCTTTATTCAGTGACACAGTTGTGGCCTTTTATCCTCTCATTGTGTATTTTGCCTGTGATAAAGTAATGTGATAATCCCTATTTTAGAATATTTCCAATAAAATTTAACTGTTGAAGAAAACCGTAAAATTATGTAAATGGTCCACATCTCAGCATGACACTCTCGTATGTACAAGGAAGGATGTATATTGGAAAGCATCATCACCTTTTTTTACATAACTTAAACACTTTTTAATCCTTTTTCAGGAAGGCAACATTTATTTTTGTGTCTAATACTGGAAGCCAGATTATTGCTGAGAAGCTACTGGAATTTTGGGAAAAAGGAGGGAAGAGAGAAAATCTCCAGCTTAGTGATTTTGAGGATTTACTTAGGAAAGGCCTTTTTAATGAAAAAGGTAAGGTTAATAAACCTGTAACTATGATTTTTCATTAATCACATGGTTGTTGCTACTTTTCAGGAACATTCAGAAGTATTCGAGCTCTTTAATGAATTGAAAAGATGAACAACTCACTATCTATGCCGTATCTGATATTAAGAGGAAAACTACTTACCGCTTTTACTTTCAGTTTCACCATCCATGTACTGTAAAATATTACAGTTTGGTTTCTTTTCCACATTTCACTAACTGAAAGTTCCTGGACTAGGTCAAAAGAAAATGCTGGCTTAACTCACTCAACTTTGGCTGCCATCTCCTTCAAAATAGTCTCCTTGGGAACATATACAGTGATGCCATCATTTTTTCTACGCCTCAAAAGCACCGAGGAAGTCATTTTCCTTAATGCTGTTGAGTACGGCTTGTGATTCCCTTTGGATGTCAGACACTGTTTCAAAATGACATCATTTCAGTTGCATTTTCAATTTGGGAAACAAAGCGAAATCACAGGGCTAAGTCCGGCGAGTAGGAAGGATGGGAACGATAACCATGTTGTTGTTAGTCACAAGCTCTGGTTTTCAGGGATGTGTGGGCAGGCACATTGTTGTGATGAAAGAGCCAGTTGCAGTTGCGCCAAAGTTCCAGCCTTTTTCATTACAAATTTTCCCTCAGGCATCTCAAAATGTCACAGTAAAAGTTCGAATTGACTGTAGCATTAGGCGGAACAAATTCACAGTGAACAGTCCTCTTCACGTGAAAAAAAGCAATGAGCATGCTCTTTGTTGAACTCCAGACCTGCCATGCCTTTTTTGCTCTTGGTGATTGTGGGCTCTTCCACTGCAACAATTGTTGTTCTGTTTTTGGATCACAACTGTAAATCCAACTTTTGTCACTTGTTACGAGCCTAGAGATAAAAGTAGTTCAAGACATACATTACCACACTGCTGCTTTTGATCATTTGTCAAGAGTTTGGGAACAACCTTCACAGCAGCGTGGCACATGCCAAATTTTCTGTTAAGATTTCCTGGCGAACTCTATCACTGATCCCAGTGGTGTCTGCAAGCTCATGGATTGTTCAACGATGGTCTTCATGAATGAGTTCTCAAATTTTTTCAACATTTTCTGTCATTTTGCTTGTGTTTGGTCACCCTGAACGTTTGTCATCTTCAACTGACACTCAGCTGGCCTTGAAACATGATTGTCATTCAAAAACTGCTGTCCAAATTAAAGTATGTTCTCCAAAAGCCTGACAGAGCATTTCAAGGGTTTCAGTAGGGCATTTACTGAGCTTCGTGCAAAACTTGATGCAGACACGTTGCTCTGTTTTTCCATCCATTGCAGACAAAATGAAACATGAAGTCGAAAAAGCACTCGTGTAAAAGCAATGCATGTTCACAGTGCGGTGTCATGTGACAGACTGATGCAATAGGCTTGCAGAAGTGAGACCTTGGCCTCCCCTGTCATCTTCTTTCACTGAGGCAGTTACAACAATAACAGTCTGGGAACTTTCTGATGCACAAAAATATTATGAACATATTTAATTTTTCTGTTTTGTCATGGTGGTACGAAGTGTATGTTGCAAATGCTGACTAATGTGTTTTTATTTTAAATTGATGCAAAGAATGAGAGACTGTTTTGAACTCAAGAAAAATATCAGTTGAATTTCAAATTAAACTTATGAAGTGACAGGCCCTTCAAAAGCTTCAGTTTATATGGAAGGAATGGTACCACTCTAATATATTGCTCAAGTGCATTTTGTATTTCCTCTATGTAAGAGCAAATTGCAGGGGGCACGCTGTAGCATAGTTGGTTGAGGCACTATGCTACAAGCTGGAAGGTCACAGATTCAAGTCCCAATGTGGTCATTGGATTTTTTTTTAATTGATCTAATCCTTCCAGCTGCACTATGGCCCTGGGGTCGACTCAGCCTCTAAGAGAAATGAGTGCCAGGAATTAATTAATAATTTTCCTGGGGAGTAAAGCATGGCTGACATGTAAGGCTGACAACCTTACCGCCATCTTTGAGCTGATTGTCTAGGTAATGTGGGCCTTCACAGCCTGTTACCGGGATAGCTTTACTTTTACTTTACTAAGAGCAAATCGCTGTCTCGGGCTGATAGTAATGTTAGTGAGCTACATTTAAAAATGTGATTGAATACTGCCCACACACTTAATTTGTGATCTCTAATGTACCTGAGTGGCCTGAGTTATCTTGCTATGTGGTGCAACACTGTTGCTTTGAGAGCAATAATACGAGGAGCATTCTGTATATAATGCCTCCTATTTTTTTAAAAACTACAACAGATACAGAAAGCATAATAACACAGTTAAATAGAGGAAGATTTCAGCTACTTACAGTAATTTTTCCACATAATCACCACCATTCGTTATCCACGTATGCTAGCGATGAACAAGAGCCTGTATGCCGTGCTAGTAAAAGTCTGTGCCAGCAGAGTCAAGCCACTTCCTTACAGCTGCAATGACAGCATTGTTGTCTGGGAAATGTTGCCCACATAGTCCATTTTTCATAGGCCGAAAGAGATGGAAGTCTGAAGGTGCTAAATCGGGGCTATAAGGTGGATGTGGTAGGACAGTCCAGCCAAACTTTGCAATGTGCGCATTGGTCACAAACTGGTATGGGGTCTAGCATTATCGTGTTGCAAGCGAAAGGTTGTCTGCTTCTCTGGCCTGACTCGGGAAATGCGGGTTACCAGCTTAGTCAGCGTCGTAGATTTCAGAATTGACAGTCTCGCCAGGCTCTGGGAAATCTAATAAAATCACACTCTGCCTATCCCAAAAGACCGTGCACATCACTTTCCCTGCCGATGGCTGTTTCTTGAACTTCATTTTTCTTGGGGAATCCTGATGTCGCCACTCCGTGGACTGTCTTTTAGATTGTGGCTCGTAGTGGTGACACCACATCTCATCTCTGGTGACGATGCTGTCCAGAAACTTGTCACCTTCAGCCTCAAACTGGTGCAGCAGGTCCTGACAGACTTCCATTCAATGAGTTTTGTGGTCCTGTGTAAGCATTTGCGGGACCCACCTGGAACAAACTTTGCAATAATCCAGCTTCCCCAACATTGTTTCCAATGCATTACAGCCAATATTAAGCCATGCACACAGTTCTCTGGTCATTATCTGCTGATCTGTATGGATGAGCTGATCGAGGTGCTGTTCATTGTGAGGAGTGGCAGCTGAGTAGGGATGCCCAGGGCATGGCTTGTCGTGTGCTTCATTTTCGCCACTGTTGAAAAGCACTACCCACTGCCTCACTGTGCTGACATCCACTGTATCGTCTCCATACACCTTTAGCAAGCGTCGATGGATGTCAATGGGTGCAATTTGTTCGGCAATGAGANGGAGTTGCAACTCCTCCCCGCGACTGCATCCGTTCTGCGGTGGTATGACTCACGGCAAATTGCAGCCGCGGCGCGCACTTGATTGTATGCACTGTATAAGGAACACCCTTTGTAGTTTCTTTAACACTTGAGTGAATCATAGAGCTAAAGAACATCTTTTGATTTCCATTGAAATCTGAAAAATTTTAATGCTATGAGTGAACATGGGTAGAAAATTACAATTTGGAATGTGTCTGTGGAAGTATGGACCCAGAACTGGAATTTGAAACTTCCTGAATATTCAGTCATAAGAAGATATGATTAGCCATAAAAAGGCTTATTTTCTTGAAAACACTGCATGATCATTCTAATAAGTAGTAAATATGTTATGTGATATGAGTATTATGAGTGAAAATATGTTTTTCTTAAGTTTACAAACAGAACTCAAACTGTATGGGCTGATGGAAGCCTTTTCTTATGCTTCTGTGTGATGCTCATGTAAAAGTTCATGCTACCTCATACTGTTATTCATATATCAATCATTTAAGAATATTTACTTTGTGTTTGTTCCATCAGGGGGCTTCTACAAGAGTGACACCATAGAGAGTAACCTTATAGACCATTATGTACCATTTCTACCACTAGAAGAATCCCATATAAGGCAATGCATTGAAGCAGAATTTCATCATAGAGGGAAGGAAATTCCACATGAGGAAGTTTATAAGTAAGTATTTCCAGAATGTATATTTAACCTATGTATGGCTTAAGAGTGAGAATTTTAATAAATAACAGTTATGTATTAAAAGCACTCAGTATTGATATGGTGCATTTTAGAGCCTGAAAGTATTGAGCCTTTACAGTTTTGATCTGAAACTCGTTTCTGCAATGAACTGTTGAGCAGTAGACAACAGAATGTCCTAGAACATCTGAACATATGCCATTTGTCCAGGATTTGGTAAGTTTATAGACACCATAACTTCCTTTTCAAAAATCTTCAAGAGGATTATATTATCCAGACCGAATCAGCATGTCTATGACCATAATATTATAGTTGATGAACAATTTGGTTTTAGACCTCAATCTTCAACCATTAAAACTTCCTATATATTAATTAATGAAATATTAGAAGCATTAAATAAGCAAAAAACCATAGGTGGTATTTTCCGCGACTTAAAAAAGGCTTTGCTAGTGTTAATCGTGGAATTTTATTGAATCAGCTTCAGTTTTATGGAATAGATGGTAAATTTCATGATTTAATTACATCCTATTTATCTGATAGATATCAAAGACTTTTAATATCAAGCACAGACTTGAGTTACATTGGTACCTCCAGTTGGGATGTTGTAAGGCATGCTGTCCCACAGGGGTCCATTCTTGGTCCACTTCTTTTTCTCTTTTATATAAATGATCTACCTAAAATTTTTAATAACTCAGTCAAATCAGTTTTATTTGCAGATCATACAAGTTTAGTTATTAGTAGTTATAATAATATACAATACCGAAATGATGTTGATATTTCGTTTGCTTATCTTAATGATTGGCTTAATTCAAAATTATTAAGTCTAAATTTTAACAAAACTAAACATGTTCAATTTATGATAAAGCAAAGTTCTAATAGTCTAACTTCTGTTAATTATTATAATAATGTGATTTTAAGCAGTACAAATGTGAAATTTTTGGGATTAGCTATTGAAAGCTCATATATCCCAACTCATGCCTAAATTGTGCAAGGCTTGTTACTCAGTGAGGGTGATCAAGCCCATTATGCCCACAGAGACATTAAAAATGGTATATTACTCTTATTTCCATTCATTTTTGTCCTATGGAATTATTTCTGGGGCAATTCTTCTTATAGTATGCACATTTTCAGAATTCAAAAGAGAATAATTAGAACCATGAGTGGGTTGAGATCTAGGGACTCTCACAGAGATGCAATTAGGGATTGGGGAATTCTGCCATTGCAGTCCCAATATATATTTCCTTTATTGCTGTTTGTTGCGAATAATATGGGTTTATATCACATGACATCAGAAATTCAAGGCCTTAATACTAGGTGTAATTTTGATATTTATCGCCCTCAGACAAATTTGACAACGTACCAGAGAGGACCTTACTATTTTGGTATTAAACTTTTTAGTCATCTTCCCTTAAATATAGAAGAGTTAATCCATAATAAGCAATTTAGAGCAGCTTTAAATGCTTTTTTATATACTAAATCCTATTACACTTTAGATGAATATTTTAATTAAGGATAGTTTCTTGTTTAGCTGTGACCTATTATTTGATCTATTGTGATGTATATGTTCCAGTTTTGTATTATATTTTATATACACATGGTAGGTTATGTAGATGCAGTGATGTGTAGTGTTTCATATGCTTGATTTATTGTTTTGGATTTATATGCATTGTTCTGTTGACTACTTGCTTGCGGTGTGACAGATTCTGTATCCAATGGCTTCGGCCTTGTATGGATGTGCTGGAATGTGTAATAAATACAATACAATACAATACCACAGCAAGCCTAGACATAAATGTTTTGTACAAAATTTTTAAATGATTAGATTTGGGGTTCTCATATTGATGTATGAAGAGTACTTTTTTATGGGACGTTTAGTCTGGTAGAAGCTTACTGACATTTTGGAAAAGTGTGTGTCCTTCATATTCAGCCAAGCAAGCAGCAAGCAGTTGAACTTCTACCAGACTACACAGCTTCACATCCCAGAAGAAAGTAATCTTTGTATACCATTCATAATATGTCATCATTAAATATTTCAGACATCAGACTTCCATACTGTCTAGTCAGATGGCCTAGTGTTCTAGCTTTAGTCATATGCAACCTATAAACAAATGTCGTGCTGGAAGCTTCTGTACAGAGTTACAATTCAGACAGTATAAATAATGAAGTGGAAAAGATAGGAGAGGGTCAAAGTTGTAACCCATTTACTTGGAAATGCTGGAGATAACCATGAAAATCTGAGTCATTGTGGTTTTTGGCTCAGATTTGAATCTGGCACCTCCTGAATATAAATTGAATAAGATCCCACTGAACTCTCCTACTTAGTTAAATGTGAGAAATTGTCCTTACCATTGAATGACAAACTGCCACTTAAGATTCTGTACCCTCTCTCACTTAATATGGACATCTTTAAGGACCATGCCTGTTGTCCACTAAGAACGATTTTCTGATCTGCAGGTTTTTCCAGATTTGATCTGTATCACTGACAGAAATTAAAATTTCTAACCAACTCTTTGCTCATGACGCTATAGGTATTATGTGAGTGTAAAAACAAATATAAATTCTGGACTATTTAAAATTGAGACAGCTTTTACATAGACATAAAATGAACTGTCTTACTGAAAGAATGTTGTCTTTGAATAATGTGTGATTTTGTTTTCCAGAGAAGTGTTGAAAGGTGTGACATTTGGTCCAGGATCATTAAGACTGTTCGCCCATTCTGGCTGCAAGCGAATCAGTTCGAAAGTAGCTGCTTTGTTGGAAAGCCCCCTTTTTACAGGGTAACAGAAGGGAATAAGTGCAAGATTTTGGGTTCTCACAATGGCAACTGTGAAGAGTGCTGTCTTCTGGGATGTGATGATGTATAGTCTGGTGGAAGTGTACCAATTTTCAACATTTAGAAAATAATTATAACAAATGTTTAAATGTTAAGTATGTGAAACCAGTCTGATAAGTTTAACTATGCAATGGAAGGTAAGGAAAAATGGGGTACTTTCTCATTTGTCCTTTGGGTGAAGTACACATTCACTCTTGCCAACATCCTCCACATGACCAATTGATGTCATTACTTTTCTGTGACAGCTGACATGCACGTGCTTACTGAAATGGAATTTTATAATTGCCATCTTAGCCACATAATCACCATAACATAGAAAAGTGTCACGTAACTTCGAACAACTCATTATGTACGATGTAGCGCACAAGGAAAAACTGACGTTTTTAAACAGATGATAGAAAAACCGTAAGTATAACCTGCTTCGAGGGTGCCTTACAAACAACTGGCCGCCTGTCACTTCTCACACCCTCGAACCCACCCCCTTGTCTAGAATTTTTCTTCTGCACATTCAAGGTTACTCTTGGCCTTGTTCGAAGTTACATGACACTTGCTATATATGTGACTGTATATCCTTAAGGTATTTAGAATGTTTGTCTGAAATATAACCTACAAGGCTGGCCCAAGGTATTTTGGCATATTTTTTTTTACCTTTTTACAAGTTGGCCCTGTGCTTGACTAATTAAGCACAATGCCATGAAGGCATATGGGGGAGTGGATGTACAGATCCACATTTCCCTAACTTCGGCACTACCTGGAGGTGACTGGTCAGCTTCACGCCCCTGCCGCTTCGCCCGCAGAGAAAGAGCCCTCACTACCCATTGGGTGGACCCCAGAGCCGGTTTGGACAATGTGGAGAAGTGGAAATTCTTGCCCCCACTGGGACTCAAACTCCAACCCTCTGGTTCCCCAGCCTGTAGCCAGTCACTATACCAACTATGCTATCAAAACTCTTTAATTTTTTACCCTTAAATATTTTTTGTCAGCATGCATAGTTGGTCGAGGCACTATGCTACAAGCCGGAAGGTCGTGGGTTCAAGTCCTGATGAGGTCATTGGATTTTTTCAAGTGACCTAGTCCTTCCAGCTGCACTATGGCCCTGGGGTCGACTCAGCCTCTAACAGAAATCAGTACCAGGAATTAATTAAATAATTTTCCTGTGGAGTAAAGCGCAGCCAGCGCGTAAGGCTGACAACCTTACCACCATCTTTGAGCCGTTTGTCTAGATAATGTGGGACCCTCAACGTCTCACAACCCTATGGGCCTTCATGGCCTGTTACAGGGATAGCTTTACTTTTTTTTTTTAATGAGGAACATTATCTTATCATCTGTTCTCAAGCTGCAGAATCATACTGTATGACCAGCAGTTGCAAAAATAGAAGGGTTCCTAAACACTATGTGGTGGGAATCAGAGCAGTGAAAACCTTCACCATAAGTAACTTGAGACACAGCACTCCAGTGTTTCAGTCAATATTTACAACAGATCACATAATGGGTCAGATAACAAGATTGTGCAATGAGAGACTGACTAATTGTGCCTGCAGCACCACAGTGTGTCTTGCATAGATGTGCAGGGAGGTGTTGAAATTGGCCACTCAATACTGGTATGTGCAAGCATCACCAATGTGATAATTTTGTTACTCCAGGTTTAAAGGACCGTCTATAAAGTAACCATTCAGAGTTAAAGGGTTAGTGAAACTTACTTGGCATTGGCCTCTGTTTACAGAGTCACCGCTTAGTAACAGGTCTATATGCCACAATATGTACATGTCCTGTTCTAAATGGTTTCCGAGACAGAGCTATTTCACTGTACGGTTTCAAAATTGTTGATAAGAAAGTGATATTTCTAACACCAGTATTTATTGTTCAAGTGACAAAGTTGGTAAAGTTACCTAGTACGAGTTTAATACATTTTGGAAAATTCTGTCAGCATCAGTGCACTTTGCAACTTGTGTGAGGACATGGCGTGTTGCTCGTCTGAGTGCATCTTGACATTCCTTTATGTGGATAATAGCATGAAACAGCTGTGTCATGAAAACCATTCAGAATAGGACACATGTACATATACACTATTTTGCTTAGAATGACCAATACTGTGACCTCCCACAATGCTGACCTTTCCTGCTGGAACACTATGTAGAGTGTTAAATTGTACTTACTTTTCCAGGTGAGAAACTGTCAGCAGTTTTCCGCTTGAATGGTAGCATCATGTTCCAGACAAGCAATTACTTTTCAAGGCCAGAAGTGCAGCAGCCACTGTGGGAATCAGGACATTCTGTTAGGCTGTTGCACTTTTTCCTTCAACCTCAAACGCTTAACAAAGCACGTGATTATAAAGTTCTGATGGTTGATAGAAGGATCATGGATCTAAAGGAACAATGGCAAGAGATATAACTTTAGATATCTCTCACTGAGGACTTTCTAAGTGATGGGTTGCTAGTTGCTTTTCTTGTGAAGTGCGAAACAAGCTTGGAATCCTCCCATCTACATTTCATTGTGCATCTGTCAAGTTTCCGAACATGACCAATAATACAGTGTGTTCAGGAAGAAGTACAGTTTTGGTTTCCACAAGTTCAGCCATGATTTCTGTGCTCGCAACACTGGCTTGGTTTTTTGCCATCCATCTGATTTTTACGGCTAGATAACGTTTTCAGCTCAACTGAATCATGTGAGAAAGTGAGATCTTGTATTATGGATATTTTATGTTCTAGAAAATAATCTACTGTATTCCTGCAAGTAAGAATTCTTGTTGGATTTGAGGTTCTCGTACCAGTGACTATGAGGGATTCTGTCTTCAAGGATATAAAATTGTGTAGTCTGGTGAAAGTCAAACAAATGCTTTGGAACAACATATAACCTCCAATTTCAGGGTCAGACAAGAAACCAGCATGAACCAGGCAGAAAACAGAAAACAGGACAAATCATGGCTTACTCTTTGCCCCTGAAATGAAAGCAATATGTTCTTCCCAGATGTCAACTGGCTTTCACCAGACTACATGTTGTAACATCCCAGAAGACAGAACTCTTAAAGGTTTCTTATTGCATAATCATGAACCAAAATTTTCAGTATTGAATTGTAATTTATTTATAAAGCCTGCAGATGAGTATGTGTGTAATTTTTTATGTTTTTTGGGCCTTTATATACAGGGTGTTCCTAAAAGAATGGTGGGGTTTTAGATACGTATATATTTCGTATTTCTTACCGTGTACAATCATAACATGTGTCAATCGGAAGCTTAACTGTCCAAATTTTATGTACATCCATCAAAGTGCCTCTATATGCGCACCTTTCATTACCCGGCACACATCAATGCGATAGTTGAATTCCTGCCACACCCGCTGCAGCATTTCAGGTGTGATGGTCTCCACAGCACGATTGATTCTGTTTCGGAGATCCTGGAGCAATTGGGGCAATGGGGGTAAATAAACCATGTCCTTCACATACCCCCACAAGAAGAAATCACATGGAGTTATGTCCGGGGATCAGGGTGGCCACCGGAGAAGGGGGGCATCTTCACCTGCAGCACATCCAATCCATCATTGCGGAAGGACCAGATTAAGCAAACCTCTCACAATGCTATTGAAATGTGGGGGAGCACTGTCCTGTTGGAAAATGTAGTCATTGGATCATTGGCCAGTTGTGGAAACAACCAATTTTCCAGCATGTCTTGATAGGTGTTACCAGTCACTGTTGCTTCAGTGAAGAAAAAAGGCCCGTACACTTTTTGTTGAGACACAGCATAGAAGACGTTAATTTTCAGAGAATCACGCTCGTGCTCAATCTGTGCATGTGGATTTTGTGTCCCCCAGATACGTACGTTGTGTTGGTTAACTATCCCACTCAGATGAAAAGTGGCTTCATCACTGAAAACGAGACGTTCCAGGAAACCATCATCTTCCATCTTCTCTTGAATGTCCTCAGCGAAATGAGTTCTGGCTGCCTTGTCTTCTGGTTTCAGAGCTTGCAACAGCTGCAACTTGTACGGTTTCATTAATTCCGCTTATGCAGTACCCTCCACAACGTCGTTGTTGGCATTTGCAATTCTCTGCTTCCTCTACATAATGATTTTCTTGGGCTTCTCTGATACGTCTCCCTCACTCTTTCCATGTCTGCATGTGGCACACATGGCCGCCCAGAACTCTTGCTTTTACAGAGACATCCACTGTCCACAAACTGCCGGTACCATCTGCGAATGTTCTTTTCATGTGGCACCTCCTTCTGAAAACGTCCACGAAATTCATGGCGCACTGTAACGATGGATTTAGACACCTCAAATCTCAGCACGCAATAGGCCTTCTCCTGCTGGGTCGCCATCTTACATTTCACGCCTCCTAACTGTTGGAAATGGAACTAGGAAAGAGCACGATATACAAAATGAAAATTTGAGAGCCGCGTTATGAGTCCGTATATGTTTTGCTTTTCATCACCAAAAACTGACGGAGATATACAGCAATGAAACCCCACAATTCTTTTAGGAACACCTGGTACAATATACAGTTATACTTCATTTGTTTCCATTGTTTTCCACTTAATTACTAAAACTTCAAACATACAAAACATGCTTGATTAGCCAGGCTAACTTAGCTGAGAGGAAGTGCAAATAAACAATTTATGAAATGTATGCAGTGTAACAATTCTGGCACATGTTTTTTCTTTACCTCCATCCCTGACTTTCCTCAGACCCCAACAGGTTGTAGAATTTGAATGATAACAATATAAAATGGTAGAAATAGCAGAGGCAGGAACATCAGAGCATTAATAATATGTATATGCAAATTTAGTTTTGTAATTCTTCCATAAATTTAACATTGAAAATTGGAAAGCAGTGTATATGCATAATTGGGAATATACTGTATATGATTTTCTTCCTTGTAATCTGTCACAGCTTTTGCTGTCCTACTACTACACAGTGCCCAGTAGTTCCTTCTGGCTTTCCACCTGTCTCCTATATGAATTTCTCTTCGCCCCCATTTGTGCTACATGCACTGCCCATCTCATCCTCCTTGAATTGCTAATTCTAATTATACTTGGAGAAGAGTACAAGTTGTGAAGCTCCTCATTATGCAGTTTTCTCCAACCTCCTGTCACATAATTTCTCTTTGGTCCAAATATTCTCCTCAACGCCCTGTTCTGAAACACCCTCAGTCTATGTTCATCCCCTAATGTCAGACACCAAGTTTCACATCCATACAGAACCACAGGCAAAATTATAGTTTTATATATTCTAATTGTTATGCTTTTATACAGCAGACAAGAAGACAGAAGGTTCTGAACTGAATGGTAGCAAGCACTACCCCCATTCAATCTCTTCTTAATTTTCTCCTGAATCAGGTTTTGAGTTTACAGTCGTTCTCAAATATCTGAACTGTACCACATTTTCAAAACATCTGTTAGCTATGTTTATATATTTTTTTTTATTGCTAGTGGGGTTGGACTAAGTCCCTTGTACTGTGGCCACTTCTGGCCTATTGTACCAGCCCCAGATGATAGGTGAGGGTGATTGTGGAGCAACTGGTGGAATAAAGATTGGCAGGGGAAACCGAAGTACTCGGAGAAAACCTGCCCCAGCGCCACTTTGTCCACCACAAATCCCACTTGACCAGACCCGGGATCAAACCTGGGCCGCCGTTGTGGGAAGCCAGCGACTAACTGCTTGAGCTATGGCGTGGCCCTATCTTTATGTCATGATTTTGCCCTGCATTCTAGTAAAGAGACAGCAACATATATAACTTAGTTTTCTCTGTCCTGTGTGTGAGGCCCTAGCTTATTTAAGATTTTGACACTTGGGTCAGTTTTTTATGGAACCAAGCGACTTTTATGACGGCCCCACAAGCAGGGGCCTACACTTTATTAAAAGTATAAGATTAATAAAGGGCTAATCCAAGGGGAAGCACAATAGAGCAGTGAATGTCTCAGTACAGGGGCCAGTTTTTATGGCCCACCCCTTACATACATTACATTAGTTTAATTAATTAATAAATTTTAATTTAATTTCAGTCCCACCTGGTTTCCCTGGACCTTCCTAATGGCATATTCTAAAGCACAGTTGAAAAGGAGTCGCAATAAAGCATCTCCTTGTTTTAGACCATTCTGGATAGGAAATTTATCAGATAAATGTTTATCTACACGGACTTTACTATAAGTTTCATTTAAACTCATTTTAATCAACCTAACTAATTTCATGGGTATCCCAAACTCTATTAGAATATTGTACATACATAGGCTTTCTTGAAGTCTATGAATAGCTGATGTACTGTCTCATCGTACTGCCATTTTTTCTCCAATATCTGACGAATGCAAAAGATCTGATCTCTAGTTGATCTGTTACGTCAAAACCCACACTGATGATCCCCAATAATTTCATCTATATATGGACTTAACCTTGAAAGAATATTGGACAAAATTTTATATGAAGTTGATAGGAGTGATGTCCGTCAATAATTACTACAGTCAGTTTCATCACCCTTCTTGTGAACTAGTACAATAATAGACTCCTTCCACTGATCAGGCAAGTTTTCCTTATTCCAAATAGAAGTAATTAGCTTGTGGATCTTAGAACATAATATTTCGCCTCCTGCTTGAACAAGTTCTGCCAGAATTTGATCACTACCTGGCGATTTATACCTTTTCAACTCTGTAATAGCAACTTCAAACTCAAAAGAGCTGAGATCAAGTACTAACAGCTCAGCTGTATGTACATATTTCTATCTGCCTAACATCACTGACCCTATGTACATACAACTGAGAGAAGTAGTTCTTCTACCTATTCAAAATGTTGCAGGAATCTGCAAGCAGATCACCATTCTCATCCTTAACTAAGTTACTTCTAGGTTGGTAACCCCTCTAAAAGTCATTTACTCCTCTATACAGGTCTCTAAATGTTCTTGTTCTTACTGTTCATTGCAAACTCATCAATTTTGTCTTTTAGGTATTCCATCTTTTTATTCTTGAAAAGCCCGCTGGTTTCACGTCTTATATTGTTCAGATTATCCACATTTATTTTGCTTGGATCCTGCAACCACTGCAGTTTGGCTTGTTTCCTTTGGTCTAATAAGTCTAAGCATCCTTCATCGAACCACGACCTATGCTTCTTCAATTCATAATAATCTAGACTCTCTTTGGTACAAATTTTGATATTCTAATAGTTTCCCAAGCTCTATCAATATCCACCTCAGTGTCTAAGTTTCCAAAAGCTGCAAACCTATTTAAGATTTGAACATGATACTGCCCTTTACCCTCTACCTCGTATAATTTCTTGAGACTGAACCTCTCCGTATGAACCCTGTGCACTGTTTGTTTACTCATGGCCAGTCTCTCCCTAACATTTGCTACCACCAGATAGTGGTCAGTATCACAATCTGCTGCCCTGAACAATCAGACATCAAGTATACTTGAATGTTATCTCCTGTCTATCAAAATATGCATAATTTAGTTCTGTGTCTTTCCGTCAGATGTCCAAGTCAATTTATAAATGTTATAATGTAGGAACTTCATTCTTTTCACAACAAGTTTCATGTAAACTCTCATTCTCAATTGTTGGCTTGAAAATGTCTTCCCTACCTACTTTGGCATTGAAATCTAACAAAATTTGAATTTGGTATTTATCGAATACATGTTGTAGTTCTTCATATCATCAGTT